GGTATATCTGATGCACACTTTGGTGTGGTGAGTTATTTAATGTCTCTTTTAGCTATAGCCTGTAACTCCCACCAAACAACATATTCGCCTAGTTGGGTCTGAGTAAGAGAAAAGTGGGAGAAGATGCTGATAGAATTATATGATTCATTTGTGAGTGGTTAACAGAGTTAATTGTGATTGTAAAAACCTGGAATTCTAATGTGTACAAAATGAGCCATCTCAAAAGCAGGGATCTGTATCATCAAAGAAGAGCCAGGAGTGAAGTGCATCGTTTGGACTCTGAGATCCCTGCCCCTTGAACCTCCTTTTCTCAGGACAGAGCGCTAAGACATTGGAGGAGTGGCAAGGGAGGAGTAGCAGCAGAAACAAGAACCAGAGCAAGAGACAGAGAGGTGGGTTCCCCAACCCACAGAGCAAGGAAAACTGAGCAATTCTGGGCAGACAGCTCGTCTGCAGAGTGGGGTACCTCTAGGCACTAATTGGGAAAGCAAGGTTTGCTGGCCCAAGGCTTGCTGACCCACAGAGCTAGAGCTGAGAGCATCAGGCTAAGGCTTATAGCGTCTTGTGGGCAATTATCAGCGACCCTAAAAGAACTTTGGAACACTGGCTAGGCCAAGGGAGGCCTGCCTGTGGGCCCAGCTAAAGACAAACCGTCCTGACTGGAGCACCTGTGTCCTGAGCATTTCTGACCCTCATCTGTAACCTGTTAACTGCCCTCATAAACCCTCATAACTGTGAATGTGGTGTCTGAGTTCTGTGTGGCTGCTGCAATGACTGATCTAAGCTAGCTGAGTAGAGAAGGAGCCCTGGTGGCTTAGTGGGTTACACATTGGTATGCTAACCTCAAGTTCAGCAGTTCGAATCCACCAGCTGCTCCACAGGCAAAAAAAAAAAAAAATGAGGCTTTCTGCTCCTGTGAAGATTTACAGCCTCAGAAACCCTATAGAGGGTGGCTATGAGTCAGAACCAACACAGCAGCATACAGCTTCAGCAGCTGAGTAGAGAGGATGGTGGAAGGAGTCATTTTATGTCATTTTTGCATGTACACAAACACACATGCACATACATACACATATACATATATTACATACATGTGTGCACATGTAATCAGTGATTATCTCCCTGATGTGGGGCAATAGAGCATTTTTATTTTACTATTACATATGAGTCCTGGTGTGGCACTGAAGGATCAGAATAAAGTCAGAACAGAATGAAGTGCCAATGGAGGAGGCTCTTAGGAACCAAAGGCCAAGTAAAGAGACAGAAATTTTCAAATCTTAAGATACTCTCATTTTTAGGAACCAAAGCCAAAAAGTAAAGAGATAGGAATTCTCCGATGTTAAGATACTCTAATTTTTCCTGCCTTTTAGAAAAGAAAATTCTCCAAGTTAAATCAGTATGTATTAGATTAACTTTCACCATCTAAGTGCACAAAATTATTCAGTTAAGCTCTTGTCTTAATGTAATTAATTAAATTAGTTAACAAAATTACTTCTTGGGCTATTTTTGGAGTGTCTAAAATACACAGATATAGAACAGGCACTTCAAGTCCACTAGTTCCCTGCTCCTGAGGACAATGGAAACTCACCTGGGAAGATATTGTACAAAGAGAAATACATCTTGTATTTATTTCTCAAAACTGTGGTGGCAGGAGGAGAAATTAAATTTAAAATGCAAACAAATGTAAGTAATAAGTTTGCAAATATATAGTGGTTTATTCTTTCGGAGTGCAAATATATAGTGGTTTATTCTTTCGGAGTGCAAATATATATTCTGAAACCACACAGGATTGATTTATATTCTGAACCTATACTTGTCCTATTGACTTTGGTGTTCCATAAGCAAAGACCCCAAGAAAGAGAATGGGATGTTATATAGAGGAAAAGGGTATGTTTACAACATTAATTCTGTTGTATATATGTATTTTTAAATCCAAACTCCATGCCTCTTTCCTGTGTGTTAGAAATGTTTATCTGTAATGCCAAAGTAGATGTATTCTTTTATATATGAAAGAAACACCCAAGTAACTTCTCAATGTGTTAGATCAATTTCTATTTCTGGTAAATGAAGAAATGTGTGTGTGTGTGTGTATTCTTTTCTAAGACTCTTGAATTGTACTGACACCACTGCTGTTGCCTGAAAATAGACCCTTCCTAAGTCACCCACTGATGTTGTGAAACTTGCCAGGGTTTGAAATAATTTGATGCATTCTTAGTGCTAAAATTATCCTTGGAGGAAAAGTTCTACACACCGAGCATTCACAAATTAAAAAAGGACTCTAAAATTGCCAACAGAGGCTCTGGTGGTGCACTGGTTAAGCACTCTAATGCCAGTTGAAAGACCAGTTGCTTAAACCCACCAGCTGTTTTGAGGGAGGAAGTTGTGACAGTCAGCATAGGGGGCCGTTCGGCTCTGTCCTACAGAGTCGCTATGAGTTGAAATCGACATGGGTTCAAAACGCAACTATTTAGTTGTTTGTGCAAGGCTGAAGTGAATCGGCCTCTGCCCAAATTAGCAAGAGAAACAATTCTGTGTATCTTGCAACACAATTCCAACACTGTCCTGGCCTGGGAGCCTACTCACCTTATCCTTATTTACCTCACAACTGGTATCCCGATTTATTGAGAGCTCCCTTTACAACTAAGCAAAAGAGGTGAATCCAAGACATCTACATCTGCCAAACAGCTGGGGAGCATGATGGAATGGGAGAAAGACAGAAGGAATAAATTAAATCTTTTTTTGTGTGTGTTTTTTTAGCTACAAAATAGTTCCCACTTTTTAAGGTAGCCTTTGTAGTCAAGAAAATACATACATTTTTTTAAAGAAGAATGTATCACAGATATATATTAATTATTGTTGATACCATGGCTCCATTAATAATTAGCCTTTCTCTGATTACTGGTACCATCGAATTGGTCCCAACTAATAGTGACTCTGAGTCTCTGAGGCTATAAATCTTTATGGGAACAGAAAGGTTCATCTTGCTCCTGCAGGGTGATTGGTGGATTTGACCTGCTGACCTTGTGGTTAGCAGCTCAACATATAACACACTACATCATCAGGGCTCCCTTAACTTCAGGGATAAAGACCCAACAATCTGTTCCCATGAAGACTACAGCCTAGCAATCCCTATGGGGCCATTCAATTCTGTCACATGGAGTCACCATGAGTTACAACGATTCAATGGTACCCAAATAACATACTTGCTATAAAGGAGCTCTGGTAGCGTAGTGGTTACGAATCGGGCTGCGAACCTTAAGGTCAGCGGTTCGAAACTACCAGCCGCTCCGCGGGAGAAAGATGAGGCTTTCTACTCCCGTAAAGATTTACACCCTCGGAAACCCTGTACAGGGTCGCTATGGGTCGGACCCGACTCGATGGCACTTAACAACAACAACAACAACTCTTGCTATAAGGAGCTCTGGTAACGTAGTGGTTACGAATTACGAATCGGGCTGTGAACCGCAAGATCAACAGTTTGAAACTACCAGCTGTTCTGTGAGAGAAAGATGAGGCTTTCTGCTCCATAAAGATTTACAGCCTCGGAAACCCTGTACAGGGTCGCTATGAGTCGGAACCGACTCCACGGCACATAACAACAACAACTCTTGATATGATATAAAAGTTTATACAATTCATTTGTCCCAACTTTTCTAATATATAACTTGCAACAAAATTGTGAAGTGTTTCCAGTGTATTTGGGGGAACAAGACTGCAAGATTAAGCTAATGTACAAAGTGCATCTTACATGAAGGCATCCAGTTGTTAACTGAATACACCTGATATTTTACAGACCTGCTCCTTTTACTCAGCCTGCTCCAACTCGGAGCACCACAGACAAATACACACACCTGGAACACATACACTTGGAAAAGTATGTTTTGTTTATGGCCCTGTTCAAGTGTGATGTGTTTGAAAAACATTTTAGACATAGTTAGAGAAGACAGATTACTCCTTCATCTAAGCACTCTTGTATCTTTGTACAAACTTTCACTGTAACTCCTTGTCATATTATGCTATGATTAATTTTCTGCTGGACTTAAGAACTCAACAAGGGTAGGGACCATGCCTTAATCATTTTAGTTCCCTTGGAGCCTACTTCAGTGCTTAGCACACAATGCTATAGTTGCTGGGTATCAGTCGATTTTGACTCATGGCCACCCCATGTGTTAGAATAATAGGGTTTTCCAGGCTCTAGTCTCTGGTAGCGTAGCGCTTACGAATTGGGCTGTGAACCTCAGGATCAGCAGTTCGAAACTACCAGTTGTTCTGAGGGAGAAAGATGAGGCTTTCTGCTCCCGTAAAGATTTACAGCCTCGGAAACCCTGTACAGGGTCGCTATGAGTCTGAAGCGACTCCACGGCACATAACCACCAACAACCACCACTGCCAGTCTTTATGTGGCACTGTGGGTTAATACACTAGACTGCAAAGTCACTTTGAGGTTCAAGCTCACTAACCTCTCGTAGGAAACCCTATAGAGGATTGCTAGGGGGCACTTAACAACAGTAATAATCATTACAGAAGCAAATTGCATACAACAGATGCTCATAAATGCTGAATGAGAAGTCTGCTTGATAGGCAACATTTATTACACATTACACCCAATAACACCACAAGAGGGCAATGTAATCAAAGTTACTATACAAAGATGGCAGTTATATATGAACAAAAGAAATACCTTTTCCTTTAAATGCAACAATCTTGTTTTCAGATGTTATTTGTATATTTACTGTCCAGCTTAACCAATGATATGATTCTGTTTGAGAACAGTTCGACAAATGTAAAAAAGAATCCTTCAAAGATCCATGAAACAGGCCAGATGGCTTGCCCAAAGTCTTAAGAGTACCAATGAGTCTAGGGATTAATACCCCAACTTGAGAAGAAGAAAAGAACTACAAATGGAAATGAGGATGCTTTTTATGAAGCAGCATCTGGACAAATTATTGTTATATCTTCTCACATTTTCAAAATGCTCAAGTTTACACATTGACCCCAGAATGAAGGTGAGCATCACTACTTCTGAGAAAACACAGGTTGGCAAGGGAATGCACAGTTACAGAGTAAGTACTGGGAAACACAAATTAAACAAAACTTCCAGTCTAAGATGCTTCTATGCACTTATTTCTGTGCTTCAACAATTCTATAGCTGGCTTTCTTTCAGGTCATTTCTGAGACAGAAATCAAGGATCGAGTTTCTAAAGAGACCATCTCTCCTGTAAAATGCTAATAAATTTAGAGGAAGCTACTCATACACCCTTGGAAGCCCTGTACAGGGTCGCTATGGGTCGGAACTGACTCGACGGCACTTCACAACAACAACAACACTCAATCACTGGAGTCCTGGTGTGGTGCTGTGGGCTAATACGCTGAACTGCCAAGTCAGTTGGAGCACAAGGTCGATGGTCCAAGCTCACTGACTGCTCCTCAGAAACCCTATACAGGGTTGCTATGGGTTGGAACTGACTCGGCAGCAGTTAGCAACAGCAACAAACACCCAATGGTAACAACCATGTTGTCAAGTAACACTTCCTTCTTGACACTTTCTCCAGTCCTTCCAGCTACAAGTAAGTTATCTTCACTAGTTTAGCTGCTGCCACAGTCTTTGTTAGTACCTTCCATAGTGTCTCTCGCTCACCATCATACCTTGGGTTGTTTGATCTGCGCACATGCTTTCACTCCCCTACTAGATAGTCTCTCTTAGTGGATCAAGACATGTTGGTTCACCCTCATAACACATTAATCATATACATAGATGTTGTCGGTTGGATTATGTTCCTTCCGTTCTCCCAAAGATATGTTGAAGTCATAACCTCCAGTACCTTTGAAAGTATACTTATTTAGAAATAAGGTCTTTGAAGACATTATAAATTAGTAAGTTAAGATAACATGAGAACTTTTGAGAGTAGATGGTGGTGTACTGTGGAGTCCGTTCTGACCCATAATGATCCTGCATAGGGTTTCTGAGGCTGTAAATCTCTACAGGAGCAGAAAGCCTCATCTTTCTCCCAAGAATAGCTGGTAGTTTCCAACTGCTGACACTGAGGTTAGCAACCCAACTCATAACCACTATTCTACCAGAGCTCCTTATCTTAGAGTTGAGTGGACCCTACTCCAGTTAATGAGAGAAAAATGAAGAAGACAGCCACATGAAGATGCTGACAAAGGGGATTTCTGCCTCAATCATTTAAAGGTCTCTGATGCCATACAGGAGTATTTCAGACCCATGGCAGACAGGATTTCTGGAACCATGTAAGATTTTTTTATTTAACGGAATTTAGGTCTTTTAAGACCACTACCTTAACAATTGATTAGAAGAGATCCATGTTAGTGCCCATTCCAAAGACAGGTGATGCAACGGAAGACAGAAATCAGACAGTATCAATATCACATGCAAGCAAAATTTTGCCAAAGATAATTCAAAAATGGCTTTAACAGTACATTGACAGGGAACTGTCAGAGGTTCAAGATGGATTCAGATGAGGACTTGCAACAAGAGATATCACTGCTGATGTCAGATAGATCTCGGCTGAAAGCAGAAAATACCAGAAAGGTATTTACCTGTGCTTTATTGACTATGCAAAGGCTTTCAACTCTATGGACCCTGAAAAGCTGTGGACAACACTGTGGAGAATGAGTATTCAGGAACACTTAATAGTGCTCATGAAAAACCTGTACATAGATCAAGAGGCAGTCATTCGAACACAACAAGGTACAATGACTGGTTTAAATCAGGAAAGATGTGTGCCAGGGTTGTACTCTTCCACCATACTTAATCTCATGCTGAGCAAATAATCCAAGAAATTGGATTATATGAAGAAGAATGTGGTATCAGAATTGGAGGAAGAGTCATTAACAACCTACGATATGCAAATGATACAACTTCGCTTGCTGAAACTGAAGAGGACTTAAAAAGCTTACTGGTGAAGATCAAAGACCACAGCCTTTGGTATGGGTTGCACCTCAATGTAAAGAAAACAAAAATCCCCACCACTGGACCAGTAAATAACATGATAAATGGAGAAAAGATTGAAATTGTTAAAGACTTAATTTACTTGGACCAACCATCAATACTTATGGAAGCAGTCAGAAAAAGAAAATAAAGAAATCAAATGACGTATTGCGTTAAGCAAATCTGCTGCACATGACCTCTTCAAAGTGTTCAAGAGCAAAGATGTCAGTTTGAGGACTAAAGTGGGCCTGATCCAAGCCATGGTATTTTCAATAACCTCATATGCATGTGCAAGCTGGATAATGAAAAAGGAAGACCGTAGAGGAAATAATGCATTTGAGTTATGGTGTTGGAGGAGAGTATTTAAGTACCATGGACTGCTAGAAGAACAAACAGATCTGTGTTGGAAGTACAAAAAGAATGCTCTGCGGCAGCCAGGATGCTGAGACTGTCTCTCATACTTTGAACATACTTCCCTGGAGAAGGACACCATGCTAGGTAAAGTGGAGGGTCAGCGAAAAAGAGGAAGACCCCTAATGAGATGGATTGGCACAGTGGCAGCAGCAATGGGTTCAAAGTTAATAACAAATGTCAGGATGGTGCAGGACAGGGCAGTGTTTGGTTCCGTTGTGTGTTAAGGTCACTATGAGTTGGGATTGACTTGAGAGCAGCTACTACCACGTCTTTCAAAAGTGCAAGGTGGACTCTTAGAAAACCCATTAGTTTAAGATTGGTTTTAGACCCCTTGTTCATTATTATTTTAGGAAAATAGAAATTTAGTACAGAAATACCAAGTACCTTCAAGTTTGAAGACTTTTAAGATGTTATTTACTTGATTTTATTCCTAATCCTTTGATATGGATTAATAAGTGATACAATTCTCTTTTGTTCATTTTTAACTCAAAGTTATTAAATTACATCATTTCACTATTTCATCAGCAGAATGCAGACAACTGACCTAAGGGGGATATGATAATAATGGTATTTATGAACTTTTGTTGTTGTTGTTGTTAAGTACCGTGGAGTCGGTTCCAACTCATAATGACCCTGTACAGTGTTTCCGAGGCTGTAAATCTTTACGGGAGCAGAAAGCCTCTTTTTTTTCCCACGGAACAGCTGGTAGTTTTGAACTGCTGACCCTGAGGTTAGCAGCCCAATTCGTAACCACTGCGATTCATAATCACTATGCTACCAGAGCTCCTTTACAAAGTTTTTTTTTTTTTTTTTTTTAACTTTAATGGGGTTGAAAATAAAACATTAGCTTCATTTAAATTTTCTGATCTACTATTTGAGATAACAGCTCAATTTTCACTAAGTAATGACTACTTTAAACCCATTTTCCTAAAGCACCACTTAAAATTGGTCTTGGTATGGTTGCATTGACATCATCTCTTAATGATGTTGTTGTTGTTAAGTGCCGTCGAGTGAGTTCCAACCCATAGCAACCCTGTACAGGGTTTCCAAGGAGCAGCTGATGAGCTTGAACCGCCGACCTTGCAGTTCAAAGGGCTTTGCAGTCTGACGCATTAACCCACAGCACCACACCAGAGCTCCTCTCTTATGATAGCTACACAGATAATAGATGATTTTAAGTTTCAAGAGTACTTATCTTTGGACCATACACTATGGACAAATGAAAACGTAATTAAATATAATTTAATTAAACTGTTCTTTTACTGACCTATGTAAAAAGATATTTAAAAAGGTATTCTGGTGGTAATATGGAATATTGGAGCAGGTAAGAAACTAAGGCTAAAAGACCAGTTGGGTTGCTCTTCAGCATTTGTGGCTAAATCAAGTGTGATGAAGACTGGTTGACCAGCTACTGAACTCTGGGTTAGAGATGCTGAAGGCCTTGGTTAAGTCAGTGACATTGGGGATTACTGGCAAGAGAAAGGGAAGAGGAGAACAGCAGGAAAGATCAAGGAGAGAAGATGAACTAACAATTTTTAAAGAGATCTGATTAAAATAGAAAGCTTACTAGTCTTCTATTCTATAGCCCTCAGCCCTGGCTCTATGTAACATTATGCAATGAAAATATGTCCTTCTCTAAGGATAACAAATGAGTTACACAGACTCAGAAGTTTCATTACTGTTTTTACAAAAACGAAGTAAAATATTCTGTATGTGTATGTACACAGATATAGATGTTGGGTAGAATAAAATGTTTGTTTTCATTGTGTTAATCTGTATTTTCCATATATTTTTACTACAACGATGTTGTGCTTTTTTGTATTAAAGAATAGTAATTTTAGAAACCCACAGTTATTGAACCAAAGGAAGAGTTCTAACAATGGTTTAGTCATGTCAGCATGGCTAAAATATGTTTCTCCAAGCTTACTACTTTACAACAGAACTCAGTTGAAATGTGAAAAAAACAAGTTATCTTTAAAAAGAAGGTGCATTAAGTCTTAGCTGTAGGATAAGTACTGGACCACAAGGTCAGTTTCAACTGCATGGTCGGCAGATCAAACTCACCGCTGCTCCTTGGTGGTTATGGGTCAGAACCAATTTCATGGCACTTAACAACAACAATAATTGGAATCCTGGTGAGGCCTTGTAGGATAGAGTAGACTGCAAGCAAGGTTTGAAACACAAGATCAGTAGTTCAACCCACCAGTCGCTCCTTGGAAATCCCTATACAGGGTCGCTATTAGTTGGAATGACTCCACAGCATTTAACAACAATGACCTTGTAATTTGGTTCTTTTTTTTTTCTTACATGGAAAGAACCAATTCTCCACCTCCAATACCCCACCCCACCCCCACCCCTGTTGTCATGGGCACAGTTAAGGAGCTCAGTTTTCCTGTGTGTTGGACTCAGCAAGGTGAAATGTTTCTCCTGCCTTATTCCCAGTTCTTAAAAGGCTACTGAGTTTACTCTTGGCTGCCATCACCGCTGTACTTCTTGGTGAACCTTGGCATAACTGCAAGGCAGCCTCTTCACAACTTTGTATAGGATACTAGCCCATAGCTGTAGGTTCTGCTCCACAACCCTTTCTTCTCACACCTGGGCTCCTACAGGCATGTTGGAGGCCATTGGAATCGTGTCTCTCAAACCCATGAATTCACTCTGCACCTCTCCAGTAACTGCCCCCCTCCCAGCCCCCATGACTGAAACCTCATCTTGGAGTACATGTGAATAAAAGAGGGAATAAGGCAGTGAATGGAGGGCAATATAGGAGTATTTAGGTCAGCGGTTCGAAACTACCAGCCGCTCCGCGGGAGAAAGATGAGGCTTTCTACTC